CCCCCCCCCCCATTGCCTGCACCTCCAATTTCAAGCTCTGATTGTGATCTGTGCTATTGTGAATCAGACCACACAAACAAACACTGGACTATATGTACCAAACAACTGAATTAACATTTAAACAGCATACTGTATGTGTCGTGTGAGTGTACCCATAAATGACTTGATTTAATATTTGCTTCAGTAAGCTTCTGCATCGACGCAGCACCTTTCATCCCCTACATATTCAATCAGCTGCTGGGCTGTTGACACAGGAAAATATTGTTTTAGGCCAAAACAAGAAGGAAAAAAAAACTGTTRTGGTTTTGATTAGTTGAGCAAACACAGGCATTTTTGAATTCATATGATCAGTTTTCTTTGTTTCAACATATAAAGTAAGTTTAAGGGTTAGGTTCTTATTACTTTAGCTGCATTTATTGTAAAAATATCTGCAACGAGGCACACTTTTTATGATYCTGTGCCAATGTTATTGGTTGGGTAAAGTATAATATTGTTATTACAGCCCATAGCCAAACAGTTAAAATAATAATAATAATAATATGTATGGTTTTGCTCATGTCTGTATGCATGTGTTTGTCTGTTAGCAAAATATATCACCAACCATGAGACATATTTTAATGAAACTTTCAGGAAACAGTAATTGGATAAACATCTATAATTGATAAACTTTTGAAATCATCTCAATTTAATATGGTCGTCACAGTCAATTCAACTTATGAAACACAAAAATGACCACGATTCAGAAMGTTTTACAGATATTGTGCTAAAATCAGGTACAATACTAGCTGAYAGACATTGTTTGCACACACTCTAAGTGCTACTCATTGTGGTGGGTATTTGTTTACAACCGTAGCATTAACTCTTTAAGTCAGTTGTTTGTCTGTTAGCAAATGYTCTGATGAACCACTGGATGGACTAAAGCAAAACTCTCAGGAAATAATCAATGAATAGATCTTTACAGCTGATTAGGTTTTGGAGTCAATCCAATTTAAAATGGCCACGAAGGCTAATCAACATTAGCCAACACAAAACAGCTATAATTTAGTCAATTTTAAAGTTTCTGAGCTAAAATTTTGATGTGGTAGAAGCTGAGAGTCATCCTCAATATTTGGCATGATTGTGACGTCACACAATTGCAAATAATATTAATTAAGTTCTGACCAAAAACTGACACAACTCTCTCATTTCATGATGATTTTGATTTTCACACTAAATCTGGTGTTAAAGGCAGCATGTGACATTAATTCCTTTAAGACATGCTAAGTCATTACTTATTAGGTTTAAAAGCAGTTTATTGTTTTTTTTTTGTTGTTGTTTTTTGTTTTTACTTTGTGGAAAACAATGTCTCCACTGTAATGAACATGAATAAAGTCTGCAGGTTTGTTATAAGGTCAGTATAAAAGGATCCAGTAGATATTTGATGGAGATGACAGTGAAACCTGGCTGTGATGATCCTAAATAGAGCATAGTTATATTGGTAAAAAAGAAGGATTATTCCCTCACCAGGGGAAATAATTGGGACAAAGCCACTGTGCACGACTCTGTTGCCGCTTCCCACTCATCTGTGTCAAACAGCTTGGTCAATAATCTTCCGCAATTCCCGAGGATTAGAGTCTTATTAAGGACCCCCGTCTGTCAGCAGGACCTCGTAGCCCAGAACAAGTCACTTCCTTGCTGGTTTTTATCTTTTTTTCCTTAAAAAAAATAAAAAGACGCGTAATTGATCCCATTCGGGAGATCATAGAAGTCTGTTTTTGTCAAAGTAAGTTATTTGTTGTGATGAACCGAGTCCTCGTAACAAAATGATGAACTAAATACATGTATAACCTGTACACGCAATTAGTTTAAATAATTAGATTTTATGCAAATAATAAAACGATGAACCTAAGTGATTAATAGCTACTTGTATATTTTTATCACAATTTAAACTTAACAAAGAAGTCCACACTTGTAGATCTGAGAGTCGTGAATCTGATGTCTCTGCTCTGATTTTTTGAAATTATTATTGTTGGAAATTCGCGGGGAAGAAAAAAAAAGAGAGAGAGAGAGACAAACAAAGCTCCACAAAGTGCGTCAAGTTCTTACCTTGTCCGCGTATTTCGGGGACGACAGCAGCCAGAGCTAGAGCCGCGACGAGAGTCGTATATTGCCGGTATTGTCTCGCACACATGTCGGCTGGAAAGTCGAGGTTTTCGCTCTTCGCGATAGGAAAAAAAAAAGAAAACAAGAAGAAGAAAGAAAGAAAAAAAAGAGCAGAACGTCCGCGTGTTGAAAATGATATTAGGATTATTCCCAGTGAGCAAGCGAGCAAGGCGGCGGGAGGAGTTGAAACCGTCGGGTTTTGCGCCTCGGATGGTTCCTCTCGGAGCGGAGCGGAGCGGAGAGGTGAAAAGGCGGAGGTCTGTGTTGAATTCGGCCGCGCGCTGAGCGGACTCCTGCCCGCGTGAGGAGGGAGGGAGAGCCGAGGCTTCAGCACCGCGGACAGCTCCTAGCGTCGGAGCGGGGGACCGCCTCCACCAAGTTCCTCCCAAACACTGCTGCTTCTGCTGATGCTGCTCACCGTCTGCCTCCTGTCAGCCTCATCTGTAGCTCCAACTCTTTCTACTCATCTGAATAACAATACTCACTTATTGAATTATTTATATAAAAAACGCGTTTTAAAAAACGTGTCACTGTCATGGTCAGGTGACCTAGTGGTCATTTATGACACCATCCGTAGCCAAATGTTTATGAATCTTCACTGTACTTTTTACTTTTTTGTTTTACTTCTTTTTTACTCCTTAGTAGCAATTAATTTCAGCTTCCATCTACATATTTTATTTTGTGATTGTAGCTTTGTTTTATTCCTTTCTGCTATTCTCCTATCTTCAACTTTTGAGGACTTCCTTCAGCTTCTTTCTTTCATTTTAAGCTTTTTGTGATTTTTTTTCCCCCAGCTGCTTTCTGCTAAWTTTAGCTGTTTCAGCTAAAATGACCCTTTTGTGATCATTTCATCTTCTTACTGCTTAATCTGCRGGGAGTCATCAGCATGTTCTTTGCAGATTATTTGTGCTTATTTCAGCAATTGCAGCTATTTTTGGCTAGTTTAAGCTATTTAGCACAAATATTTCAGGGTCAAGCATTCATACTGCACATTCTCTAGTTAACTCTATTCAAAATGACAGCAGCAGTGGATTGGCATTATGAATCGCAAACACAGTTATAACTTGAGCTTGATTTTGATGTAATTGAGAGTCAGCCCAAAAACATAACCATGAAATCTTACAATAAAATGGGACTGAGAATAACACATTTGTCAAAGTTTGACCAGTTTTGAACACTCAGAAAGTGAGTTAAATAATAATCAGTGCAATCCTACCACTCATTAAGCAATTAAATTGACATTTGAATCATTTCAACATAACAAGTTTGTCCTGAACTGTGGATTTCTTTTTTCCTTCCAGTTCAATTCTCGCTACAGCTTAAACCCTGCTGTGCGTGATCAGCCCTGAGGTGAGACATTCCTCAGGTGCCGGAAATAACCGCACACCATTCTCCGACTCTCTGAGGTCACTTTTCTGTCCCGTTCTCTTCGTTTGTGTCTTGGGAACGACTTGGTAGTGAGATTTACGGACGCAGATAAATTTGTTGGTACACTTAGATCTCATTTTCATTTTAAAGCAATCATCGAATGCGCAACGTAAACAAAAACGGTTTGACCTTAATCGGTATCGCAAATGTTGTCGAGCTTCATTAGCCGCACCACACTGAACACGAGCCAGAGAAAGCAAAAAGATGTCTGAGGAGTTCAGAAAATAGAGATAACAGCTCCAAGAACATGTTCAAGCTGCTTCATGCTCCTGTAACCACAGCTGGATTTTTTTTTTTAAATACAAGGTTTGTGAGACTGTAACCAACCTCTAAGGGTGTGGATGCAAGAGGAAATGCAACCCCAGGATAATCACAAGGCTATGGTAAAAAAAAAAAAAATGCAAGAAGCCACAGAACAGGTGTGTACGTTTTGTTACAGTACTTAATTATTTGAAGTTTTTTATTTTTTTTTTACTTTATCACGCTCAAAACATAAAATTTTACTTTTGCTTCTTTACCATATACAGTAGTTACTTGTTACAAAATTAAATAGGACTGTAATCAATCAATGCACTCTTAAAAAAAGTGTTGGATTTACTTACTCAATGCTACAGCTGAGCACCACTAACAAACAATAACTGAGCTCTACATGGTATTTCCAGCATAGAAACAGCTTTGTAACACGTACTCTTATAAACACTGAAAAGTACTACATGTACGACTGACTAAATGTGAAATAAATAATATAGAAATACTATTAAAAGTAAAAATCAGAGTTTTTCTCACTGCTGAGTTGTCACTACTCTCTCTTTCTGACAAGCAATGCCCATGCATAATTAACATGCATTATGGGAGATGTAGATTATTGTCAATATTTGTATAAGAGTTATTGCCAAGAAGCATTGTTACAACAAAGAAATAATCTACCTAACTCAAATTTACTTAATTTTTGTGCTAGGTTTGGTAGCAGAAAGAGTTTAGCAGTGAACAATATGGGGTTTGGGTGAGAGGATGAGTCTGCAGGAAGTAAAACTGACTGCTCCTGAGCTGCTGAAGCATTTGTACTCCTCGGCAGCCTTGTGTTACTGTAAACCACATTTGCATCAAACAGTCTGTGTATCTAGTTTGGCATCTTTCAAACAAAGACTGGAAYCACTGAGCCTAAAAGACACAGGGACGAAAACAAAGGCTTTTTAAGACACAACTTGACAAGTGATGCTGCAGCTACAGTCACAGAGAGAAAAGAAAAAGCAAATCTTCAAGCATCTAAAGCTATCCAGAAAACCTATATAT